TTTCTTTACCTCTTTGCCTTTTGGCTGCGTGCAAGTGGGTCCTTGTGACACACGGGGATGGGGGCAGCCAGCGCTCAACCTGTCATCCACGTGGCTGGCCTTGTACGTAAGAGGTGATGAACAAGTGGGGCTTTCCTTCCTTCCTTCTTTTCCTTTCCTTCTTGTGCTTTTTTTCGACTTCGCGCTCTGGTTCAAAGCAAAAGAAGGAAAGGAAAAGAAGGAAAGCCCCACCTGTTCATCACCTCTTACGTACAAGGCCAGCCACGTGGATGAAATATATATATATATATCGTCAAACATATATCGTGAAACATATATCGTCAAACATATACATGATGTGTCTACAGATCGATGACTGACCAGGACGAACGTGTGTCCACAACAACGAGTACTGTGTTCAAACGGCTTGCCGGGAGAGAGAAGAGAACGGGGATCAGAGGAGGGTTGAAGCTGCCATGACCTTTGTTTTGGCTATTGGAGATGGGGGTGGGGATTTGTGAGGGGAAGGAGCGCAGTGGGAGGGGGGCGGGGGAAGGATGGTATGGCTTACCTTCCTAAGAATTCAAACTTCTCTGCTCGTGCCCCGAACCGTACTGCTGCTTCACCCACTAGCTCTCTCGTCGTACCTATCAGATAATATCCATCATTATAAGTAAAAAAAAAAAAAAAAAACAGAAACGCATTAGATAAATCCATTAGATAAATGGGAATTAGGGTGCAGACACAAACGGCCAAGACACCGAGCTGTAGGTTGTATCTATGCAGATTATAAAATAAAATAAAAACCTAATTGTGAACATACAGTCTGTTGAAGTTTGGACAGCGTACATTCTGCTGAAAATTTGTCTGAACATACATTCTCTTAAATTTGATCTGTTTCCTCTCATCTGACTAGTAGTACTAGTAGTACTAAGAATTGGGGGGTCATAGTCACGCTAGTCCTGGATGCATTTGACCGCAAATACGGCCAGATTCAGTTCCTCAATAGTCTTATACAGTGCGTATACAGACTTAATCACCTTGGCGCGTGGATCCTAACGCAATCAGCCTTTCTTATATTTACTCCATCTTCGTTATCGCTGTATCTAGACCAACAGATGGCCCCAATGCAGCTAGAATGACAACGCGTTCTATTCGGGTGAAGACTGTAGGCCTTCCTTGGATGCATTTATGCGTCATTAGGGTCAGATGCGGTCTTCAAAGTCCTCGTCTGTCAGTATACACCCTTCACGCACCTATCAGGTTTTTAAAAGAAGGGGAATGCCGTTGGATATGTGTGCGTTATCGAGGCTGTACTGTATATGTTGGATGTATCTGTGCCAGTGCGGCCAGATTCATTACACTACATTGCGAACACACTCATCATCTCCGGTGGATGGGATCTCCCATTGCAGTTGGGGCCCATACACTAGAAACCTCAATCCCGTTGGTTATCTTACCACCACGGGACTGAAGGTCTTTACAGAATGTAAAAAATATATATATATAAAAAAATAAAATAAAAAAAGAAGAAGAATTTCCATTGCAACCAATCTATATTGTGTGTATGGAATGGAAGTGTATGCATGGATCGAAAGTGACAAGCAATGCCCAACATGCTTTCGAACATACTTTCAAAAAGATTTTCATTGCAACCATCGGGCTAAGATGCTTCCAAACATGCCTTCATGAGTGACAAGCAAAATGCCCAAAATGCTCTCCAACATAATTTCAAAAACAATTTTCATCTCAGAAAAAAAAAATTAAAAAAAAATCACCAGAAACCTCAATCCCTGAGAGGCCGGACGGTTGCAGATAAGCGTAATTGGGTAAAATGCTCCCAGCCTAATTCCTTTGTAACTGTTCAACGGATGCTGGACCCGCTTTCAAGCAGGTGACACTCCCCACCAATGGAACGGAGTCATACACTAGAAACCTCAATCCCGTTGGTTATCTTACCACCACGGGACTGACGGTCTTCACAGGATATGTGAAAAAAAAAAAAAAAAAAAAAAGAAGAAGAAGAAGAAGAAGAAGAATTTTCATTGCAACCATCGGCCCCAAGTTGCTTCCGAACATGTCTTCAATCAAGAAGCATAGCAAATAGACGTTCAGAGTGCTCAGAGAACGATATCTGTAGAACTACTGCGCCCCCAGTGATCAGAATAATAATTCATCAAAACTTAGCTGTGTTACCAAACGGGCCGTCCGGGTCACATTGGTTGCCCGGGCGGCCCGACCGGGCAAGGGTCAGGGAAGGTCCCTGAAAAAAAAAAAAAAAAAAAAACACGAACAAATCCGGAAAAAAACTATGTTGTGCAGAAAAATAAACTGAACAACTTTTGCTTGCTTGACGCGTGAAGTTTACGTTGAGTGGTGTGTCTGATCTTGTCATTTTGAGTGGTGTGTACTGTCTCCATTGGAGACATGTGTACTTCTCTGTGACGCTGTGTCCACTCTGTATTCTCAAGCACATCCATATTCAGGAGCGTAATCGATCCTCTTTGCTGGGAGGAACTCACCCCGTTTCTAGAGTCGTGCTCGTTAACGCGCCACGATTTTAGGAAATGTACGGATCACTACAGAAGCGCCCAAATTCATCCGAGTAGAAACGTTTCTACTCTATTTTTTTCCGCGGCCGATAGCTGGGCCAAGTACTGGTGGTTTAAACTTATGTATGACTAAATAGTAAATACTTAAAAAGAAAGCCTGAACTACTGTATTATTGTTATGATATCACCTTATTTTATTCATTTTACTTTATTATATTTCATTGTATTTTATTTTATATCTCGTCAAACAGAGCTGCCCTGTAAACCGTAGGCAGAGGGGAGAAGAGGACATATATGTTAATAAAGCGAGAAGTAGGGGAACTTTGGGGGAAAAAAGCCCGCTGATCATCGTAGTCTATGGAGCAGGCCCCCTGGTAGTTATCTGCATCTGCATGGTGAAAGCGACCTGGTGCATATTACTGTAATACAAGTACACAGATGAGATGGGAATTTACCACAATGCACATCACATCATCTTGTGATCGCCGCACTGCACCACTCGCAACGCTCAGTCCCGGTGCATAATATGGATCTGCACGCTGTAGACGTCCAGATGCAGACACCCGCACTGGTTTGTTTTCCCTCTTCTTCTCCCTTTTCTGCCTTGGTAAGGTTTCTCGACTTTACGTCTGAATTCAGGAAGAAAAAAAAAAAGAGCCTGGAACGCATGTTTTCTTTCTTTTTATTGCACGGCCAGATTTATGCGTGTCATCACTGCGCAGGGGCCATTTTGATAATCACCCTTCTCTGTATCGTTCCAATTTTAACGGATGTCCTGAAGGACTAGCTGGACCGCATGTTAATTAATAAGCTAAAGAATTCAACAAAAATCTCCTCTCCTCTCATTTCCCCTTCTTAAGTTTCTTGACCTTAGGTGTAATCGAAGGAGTACTCACACCGCATGTATCGGACTGCAATTACGGCCGCATTCACTCCGACACTTCCTGGTGTCAGTATGCCTTAAAAAGCGTGCACCCACTGTATGCTAAAAAACAAAAAAAGAAATTGAAATTTATCATTTCGAGGAAGGAGAAGTCGTAACAAGATTTTTTTCCATAGATGAACCTGCGAAAGGATCACTTTAAAAAAAAAAAAAAAAGGAAAGCCTTAACGAAACGGAAATCTTTTAATGCCGAAAAAAAAAAAAAAAAATGTAAAATATATCGTAGGCCATACATTTCATTTGTTTTTTTCTTCTTTTTTTTGCACAACTATTTCTTCGTGTCCTCGGTATAAAATAAGAATCTACTGATCATTTCTCGAGTTATGCATGTCATCCTTGCACAAGGGACATTTTGCTAATTAACCTTCTCTGTATCGTTCCAATTTTAACGGACGTCCCGAAGGACATAAAATAAGACCTTTAATGTACTGTTTTTTTTTTTTCTTTTTTGAAAGAATAATTGTATTATACAGCCGGAAAACGGGTCTACAGTCCCTTAGAACAACGCGACCTCCCAAAACCAAAAAAAAAAAAAAAAAAACCGACATTGCGGTATGATCGGGGCACCCCGGCCATCTTCATACCCCACCAATCGCAAGAAGGGAAACTCACAATCTACTGCAATGTTAAAGGCTACTACATGTCCAACATTCTCCTTCCTTCCCCCCCCCAAAAAAAATCCAAGTCGTAAGTTGTGTGTTCGATTCTTGGATTGGACATGCACACGTGCATCCGATAAGCCAGTAGTCAATCTACCTGTGCAATCGTAGGCCGTTCACATGAAAAACAAAAGAACGACTTCTGACAATACACACTCACACAAGGACTTTCTCGATTGAAGAATCTGATCGTAATCGCGATCGGATACATTCAGAAAAGGATAAGTGCCAGTATCATAACCTCTACAAACTCTTCAATAACCTTACTACTAACTCTCAATAAAATAAACGTTTTAACAAATTTAATAAGCTTTTTCATATAAGTCTTCATGAACTTTTTCTCATAATCCTTTCGGGCCCGGTTCCCAGCACGTGCTGCTCCCCACGAATAGATTGGAGCCTTGTTCCCAAAAAAAAA